AAAAAAACGTTGATAGATAAGAGCGAACCTACAAATCAGTTTACAGCAAATTCCGTGTGCGTTAGCAGGTTTACCAACTCCTCATTTCTGTGATAAATCCAACTCTGCTATCTTTATTCCCTTGACTATTAATTAAACCCTATCAACTGCTCGGCCTCGCGATAACAACCGAAAACAGTTGATGAATTAGGTGGGCTATTTTTCGCGAGAAATGTTTCCCTTGGTTTTGTTTTAACTTTACTGAAGTGAAATTTTTAATCGTGTGAACACAGTAGCAAACCTCGGTAAATGGCGGCAAAATCAAAGTGAGCCAACCTAGGTGGACAGCTAAACGCCTCATCAGGCATGGCTTAGCTCAGTAACCGAGGAAAAGCAGACGTTGTCGTAAGTACCGGTAAACATCTACGTAGCCCGGGCTCCGCGGCAGATGCCGGCAGGTTTTTTGCGGGAAGAGGCTTAGCAAGAAATCAATATTTTCTTTCTACTATTCATCTACAAAGCTTTACATTTATGGAGAGTTTGGCTCGACATCACTTAGCTGCCTACAAATTGACAACGACCTGCGGTGGGCATTGGAGTAAAGTCAGAAATTGTATAATTTTCCAATAGCCTCTGTGCGACATTTCAGCACTGGCTTTCCGTGGAAACCTAAAACCGCCCGTTGTAAGAGGCCTACTTTAGTTAATTTATAGTTCCGTGTATGAAACAGCTTCTCTGACAACTACGGTTTAGTTACGAAACCTCGGTAAGCAGTAACCGTAGTAAACCTCTCTCGTGAAACACGGCATAAGAGGGGAAGCTAGAGTAACCTAATACCTTTGAACAGCTAATATCTCCAACATAAATTGTTGTTCGTAAATTTTAGTTCACGCCTTTGTGACGTCGCACCTAGATTACTGTGACTCACTGCTCTCTGGAGTGCCACAATATCAACTGAACCGCCTACAAAATTTCTTAAGCTGCAGCAAGACTTGTATGCCTAGTGCCTAAATTTGATCATATCACCCCCTACTTAATTGACCTTCATTGGCTACCTGTTGAGTTCCGGATAAAGTTTAAGGTTTTAATATTTGTGTTCAAGGCGTTGAATGGTATGGCTCCTCGTTATATCTCAGATCTTATAAGGAAGAAGTCATCTCCTCGAAGCGCTTTGCGATCTAACGATCTCACGTTGTTAGTTATACCTCGAACGAAGTGTAAGACATTGGGTGATCGGGCATTTGCCTATGCAGGGCCATCAATGCGGAACAAGCTTCTAAAGCCCATTCAGAAGGCGTCAAACATTTACTCTGTTAAAAAACAGCTAAAACATGTTTGTTCAGAGAAGCCTATACCATTCAGTGATAAATTTTATTACTTTCATCTATTTTTTTATTTGTAATGCTACTTTTTATATTTTAAATTTTTATAAATATGTATATTTTACATTTTTATATTTTAAAATGTAAAGCGCTTATGAATATTTTATATAATTAGCGTTATAGAAATTTGATTATTATCATTATTATTGTGAGTGACCTGCGGGAAAAAAGTCAAGTCGCCTTCTCTAAGCCCTATACGATATTAATTCCTTTTAGGGAAAATATAACGGCAAAATCGGCAAAATTGCTTAATTTGCAAAATCTTTTGTCGTTTTCCTATAACGTAAAAAAGAAACACCTTTACAACGCGACTCACTTCTTAGCGTAGCCTAATGTTCTGTACAGAGAGAGAATCGAAGAAAAATCGAAAGTTAACAAATTTCCTGGCTTCTGTGGAAACAGAACAAAGGTCAAGAGATCCCTCCTCGCTTAAGGAAATTGAGGTAATATAGCCTTTGTCTCGCCGAACGGCCACCTGGACCGGCACCAGCGAGCTGGATTGAAGCCTTCCCAGTTTCACTTTGTAGCCTTCGTTTTATCTCAGCAAATCAAATTTAATTTACTTTGTCAATGCCATTTATTGATTGAATTTTTCATTTATTTATTTTATTTTATTTTTTTTCACTTTTTCATTTACAAGGATCCCCGCGTAAATGGAAGAGAGTTCGCAGAATGTTGTGGGGCGACCGCGTCTCCCCATTTTTCGCAGGAAACAAGCGTCCTACAGGCCTTTCGAGGATCGCTACTCGTGGAAGGGAAATACAACAGAAGTTACCTAACGATCCTGCTAAAAAGCCTCCTTATTTTGTGTCGTGTTTTGATCTGGATGAAAACACCGCTTTCTATTCAGCGTACAAAGTTACTCCTGAGCAGGCTACAGATCTTGGAAAGTTTAGCATGAACGATATCAAAGTCTACAACTGGAGGAATCCAGGTATTTCCTGTGAAAGTTTTCTTAAGGCCCTAGTCAAACAGACTCGTAAGTAGTTGCAAAAAGTCCCAAGTTGAACTTGCGTAGAGACTTGCGTTGGCGGGCCTAAGAGAATTGCAAGTTTCCTCGCAAGTGCACGCCAGCCGGAAAAAAAAAACTCCATTTCAAGGCTATGGGCTTAGCACCGCGCCGCAATATCCTGTATCAGGAGCCATAATCGGGGACGGAGACCGTAAGCGCGCGCCATTTCTAGTATTGGGGCTGTCCCTATGATATGGGACAATTTTTCTATTTTTAGA